CACTTCGGTCGACCGATCATTCCAGTAGGTTAAGTTACTGTTGGGTCACAACCGGCCGACCGAAATGGCCATTTCGGTCGACCGGTACAGGGGTCACTTTGGGGCCATTTCGGCTGACCGAAGCCCCATTTTGTTTCCTTCTTTGGTTTAAGAAATCCCGAGCCTTGGAATGTTGTTTAAAGCCTCCTTGGAGTTTAATTAGGATACCAGGAAGACGCGTGAATACTAGTAATGATGTGGATTGATTCAGGTGACCTCGGGTTCGGATAAGGACCCGGTTAACAGTTCGGACTCACGGATTCGGATCGTTACAGTTATGCGATTTGCCCTATGTGTAATCAAGCTTTGTCAAAATATATTAAACTATTTTTAATCCTGTAGAGACGACAAGTGGTCTATGATATCATTGTGCTCCACTATAATGTTTTCAATAAAAAAATGATAAAAAGTAGTAACAGTTTTCTTTTCACTTACTATTTTTTCTCTTTCGACCAAGAAGTATTTTTTTTTACCTCTCTTTCTTTTCATTTCCATTTTGATTTCAAGAAGCAACAACTATGGGTGGTGAAGCATTAGTGATGTTGACTTATTGTTCCTGCCCATTATCTTCCAATTCTTTCATCTTCAAGATTTCAAAGAATAAAATATAAGATGCAAGAACAAAATTGCATTTGACAATTGAAATAAGTTTTTCCAATATATTATTGTGTTTTGGCCCAAAAATCTTAAACTCCGTTGATGATCTCACTGTATTGTGTGATTTTGTTTGAAAAGAAAGTCAATCACATGTTATTTACAGATTTATTTCAAGAATTGTTATGTAATTACTCATCAAATAGTTACTTATTTACGTTTAAATTTTAATTTTATTGACTATTCATTTCTTTATGGTAAGTAATTTGTTTAACATATAGTTACTAAAATCTAGTTCTCCCTATTTTTTATTATTTTGTTTATATATTTAACTCAATATTATTTATTATAATATTACTTCAAACTTTCAAAGCAATTATATCACAAGTTAAATTAAAAACTACAAATAATATAGCCATCAAATAATAAATCATTCAGCCTTAACTTTTTTTTTTCTTAAATAAAATGCACTCATAAAATTCTAAAAGTTTTAATCTTTTCTTATATTTATCTTACCTATATTTAGAAAAGTTAGATTGCTTGTGTTAATAGTCCACCTAACTGAAACTTATGATTATATACTTACACATCCACTTTATTTCTTTGGAGACTATAATACTAAACACTTAGAGAGGTAGAAGAAATATCATTGGACCTTGGTAGTGGAAACTTATTCTTAATCATCTTTAAAAAAATTAATTAAACTAAAAAGTTATTAATAAAATCCGACAATTATATATAAATATATATTAATTTGAATCAAACTCGTATAGAGTTTAGTAAAAATTAATGATATAAAACTCTGTTTATACTTTATGTCAAACTTACGAAATAAATATTTAAATGTTTCTTTCGTTCAAGTCAAGACTCAAAATTAATGGGCCAATGACCTAACGGTTCCAAACTCCTACTTTTTAAAGGGAAGTTAGGGGTTCGAATCTCAGTAAAAATATGTGTGTGTGAGTATCAATTAAAAAAAAAAAAAAAAAATTCCTTAAGTCCCAAATAAAGGTCAAAATTGAAAAGAGTGGTACAAATGTATTGGGCTCTTTTATGTATAATATTAAATACTACGTAGTTAGTGGTTGACCCTACTCAAAAAGCCCCACTAATTAATTACCTAACGGGCTGCGTAATAATTGCGCTAACCCCTTCAAAATTCAGTCACATGAAGAATATTTGTTGGTTGAAAAGACATGGCCTTAAATTTTAGATTTTTTAGTATATTTGAATTTGAATTTTTATATTTTCATTAATTTGCATAAATTCAGCTGGGGGAATTGGAAATTGCAAGGTGAAATGGACCAACATTTTAAAATCCAGCTAGAAAATCAAGGACTAATTATCCACACCATATCACTTAACTTTTGGAAATAAATAGTTAATTCAAATTCAACCATATTTGATGTGATATGATCTCTACCATCGGCTAATGTCTCCAAATTATTTTGGGCATTTTGAATGGAGTTTCAAAATTTTATTCTTTTTCAATATTAGTATCTCGCATGTAAATCTAATTAATTTAGATACTAATATAGAATAATTGGGTTGAAACTTTTTTGAAATTATTTAGCTAAAGTGTTTGTTCTCATGTTTTGATAATTATTTTCAAATGGTCATATTATAGCTAGCATTAACAGGAAAACATTGACCCTCAATATAATAATTGGAATTTGATGGTTAAAAAAAAAAAAAAAAAAAAAAGAGTGGGACAAATGTATTGGACTCTTTTGTGTGTAATATTAAATAGTTAGTGTTTGACCCCACTCAAAAAGCCTCACTAATAAATTACCTCACGGGCTGCATCATAGACTCATAATTGAGCTACTCAACGTATATTCATACGTAAACTCACCCCTTCAAAATTCAGTCACGTGAAGAATATTTGTTGGTTGAAAGACATGGCCTTAAATTTTAGATTTTCTAGTATATTTGAATTTGAATTCTGAATTTGAAACTTACAAGGATAAATGGACCAACATTTGAAAATAAAAAAGAAAATTCAGCTAGAAAATCAATAACTAATTATCTACACCATATTACTTAATTTGTGGAGGTCAAATGTTAGTTCGAATTTAACAATATTTGTCTCCAAATCATTTTGGGCATTTTGAGCGGAGTTTCAAAATTTTATTTATTTATTTATTTATTATTATTATTTTTTTTCAATATTGGTATCTGGAATGTAGATCTAATTAACTAGTATAGATGAATTTGGTTGAAAATTTTTTTTGACATTATTTTACTAAAGTGTTTGTTCTCATATTTTGGTAATTATTTTCAAATGGTCATATTATAGCTAGCATTAACAGATTAACAATGGCCCTCCATATAATAATTGGAATTTGATGGTAAAAATTAGCCCTTTTATTTTTTCCAATTCATATGGTTTAACCAATTTGAAGAAAACCCAATTCTTCTAGTATTCAACAAACACAGTAAGTGCTTGGAGATATTGACAAGTTAAAAGTGAAGGAGACCACTTCTTCATTACAAGATATTGACCCCCCAAATAAATGGTTAGTACCATGAACAAAACTAACCATCAGTCATATTACCAAAACTCTTTTAAAGACCATACATTGATACGTACACACAGATGAGATTAGATCTAATTTTTTTAAAAAAAATTATTTTAGGCTTGGTTTGGATATACATAATAGAAAAGAAAAGAAAAGAAAGTATAACATTAGCTATAAGAGGAAAAAAAAGAAAAAAAAAAAAGGAAAAGAAAAAAATTGATAACAATAATCTTTATTCATGTGATAAATTATGAGAGAAAAGAAAATAAATGATAATATTCTTGTTTGGAAAATATAAATGATAGAAAATAAAAGAAATGATAAGAATTAAATTACTATTATAACCCTTTTATAAAATATTATTAAATAAGAGTGAAATGTTATAAGAGACTAATTTTGGTATTATGAAAATACTACTTATTCATTATTCTTTCTCTCCAAATCTTTTCAATTTTGGGAGGATAACACGTGAGAGCTATACCTCCAAATCTCTCCCAAATATTTATTTTCTCTTCACTAAAAACTATCCAAACACAATTTTCACCATTATTTCTTTTCTTTTCTTTCCAAATCCTTCCAAATCACTCAATCCAAACCAAGCTTAATGCATAGGTAATTGTACCAAAAATAGAGATGTCAAGTTGTCTATGATATCATTGCGCTCCATTATGACATTTTCCAATAGAAAAATGATAAAAAATAGTAACAGTTTTCTTTTCACTTACTAGTTTTTTCTTTCCCTATCAAGAAGTATTTTTTTTTTTTTTTCATTTACATTTTGATTTCAAGAAGCAACAACTATAGGAGGTGAGGGAGGACTATCAATTGTTTTTTTTCAAAGAAAATGGCTGGTGAAGCATATTAGTGATGTTGACTTCTTTGTGTTCCTGCCCATTATCTTCCACTTCTTCATCTTCAAAATTCAAACAATAAAGTATTAGATGCAAGAAAAAAATTGCATTTGACAATTGAAATAAGTTTTTCAATATATTATTGTGTTTTGGCCCAAAAATCTTAACCTCCATTGATGATCTCATTGTATGGTGTGATTTTGTTTGAAAAGAAAGTCAATCACATGTTATTTACAGATTTATTACAAGAATTGTTACGTAAGTATTCATCAAATAGTCACTTATTTATGTTTAAATTTTAATTTTAATGACTATTCATTACTTTATGTTAAGTAATTTTGTTTAACATATAGTTACTAAAATCTAAGTTCTGCCTGTTCTTTATTATTTTGTTCATATATTTAACTCAATATTATTTATTATAATATTACTACAAACTTTCAAAGCAATTATGTCACAAGTTAAATTAAAAACTACAAATAATTTACGCCATCAAATAATAAATCATCCAGCCTTAACTTCTTTTTTTTTTTTCTTTAAATAAAATGCACTCATAAAATTCTAAAATTTATAATCTTTTCTTATATTTAACTTACCTATATTTAGAAAACTTTCAAGTGTGACTCAAATTACTCAAATTGCTTGTGTTAATAGTCCTCCTAACTTAAGCTTATGATTATACACTTACACATCCACTTTATTTCTTTGAAGACTCGAATCCTCACCAAACACTTTGAAAAGTAAAAAAAATATCAATGGACCATGGTAGCAGAAGCTATTAACAAAATCCAACAATTATATATAAATATATATTGATTTGTATCAAACTCGCATAGAGTTTAGTAAAAATTAATAATATGAAATTCTGTTTATACTTTATACCAGACTTACAAAATAAATATTCACATGTTTTTATTGTTCAAGTTAAGACTAAAAAAATTAATGGCCAGTGACTTAACGGTATCAGGCCCTTACTTCTCAAAAGGAGATTAAAACTTTGAGCCTTAGTGAAGATATGCGTATCTAAGTATAAGTACCAACTAAAAAGAAAGACTAAAAAAAAATATATAAATAAATAAATAAATGGTCAGGACTCAAAACCCATTTTTCCCTAAGTCCCAAAAAAAGGTCAAATTTGAAAAGAGTGGTACAAATGTATTGGACTCTTTTGTATGTAATATTAAATGGTTAGTGTTGAACCCACTCAAAAAGCCCCACTAATACGGGCTGCATCATAGACTCATAATTGAGCTAACCAACGTCAAAATTGAAAAGAGTGGTACAAATGTATTTGGACTCTTTTGTGTGTAATATTAAATAGTTAGTGGTTGAACCCACTCAAAAAGCCCCACTAATGCGGGCTGCATCATAGACTCAAAAAAAAAAAAAAAAATCACTCTATTTGAAGCATGACTTTGCTTATGTAAATGCTGCATCTCAAACAAAAAAAAAAAAACGGTGGAATATGTACTTTTACGCATATGCTGGCATCACATATATGATGTGGGCGCTTCGTTTGCATCTGGCTTAGCAAGAAAAATTAGAAATGTCTTTGATACAGGAGAGATGTAGCAGTACAATTTGGCTATAACTTCCCGGCCATTCTTTTACATCTGCCTGTGTGATATATATTTATCATTTGCCTATCTTCAATTTCTCAAATACCTTTTGAACATAGGTAGAGTTTGGAATATACAGGAGAGTTACAATTTGGATCTCTCTTATAAAATAAGAGGGATTAAGCTTATCAGAGTACAGAAAAAAAACAAAACCCATCTCTGATATTTGAGCATATTTGGCAAAATTTTCTTTTCTTGGCTTAAATTTTGAAAAAAAATAGTGGGTTTTGTAGAGTAGTAGTTCGGGTTTCTAAGAATTTTTTTTCCTTTAATTTTTGTTTTTTTCTTCTTAGTTGGGTAGTCATGGATGGTGGTGATCTTTATAGTGCAAGCGCTAGTTTTAGAACCAATAGCTCTTCAATTTGGAGCAACAATGGCATGGAAATTTTCTCGCGATCTTCGAGAGACGAAGACGACGAAGAAGCTCTGAAATGGGCTTCTCTCGAGAAACTTCCCACTTACAATCGCTTAAAGAAAGGCTTATTGTTGGGATCACATGGTGGTGCTGCAAGTGAAGTTGATGTTCACAACCTTGGACTTCAAGAAAGGAAAAATTTAATGGAGAGATTATTGAAAGTTGTGGAAGAAGATAATGAGAAGTTCTTGTTGAAGCTCAAGAACCGAACTGATAGGTAAGAGTTATTATAATATATTATTATTATTATTATTAGGTAAATACTCAAACACACACCTCACAAATTGTCCTCCACGACTCTAAAACCTCATTTCTTTCACACTCACATTTCACAAATTGTCTATCACATGCCTGGGATCTGAAGAGGATCAGATATAAGCAATCTTACCTCCACTTAGAATGGGTTGTTTTCAATTTTGAAACCATAACCTCTATTTCACAATAGAGCAACTTTTCGGTCCCACCCACCGGTGGTAATCTTTTGCACTCTTGAACCACACATACAATGATACACATATATTACATGTTAGGTCTTGAATCATATATTTGTTTTGCTTATAAATGCAAGTTTCTGTTTCTGTATGTAATTTCTCAGAGTTGGAATTAGTCTGCCCACAATTGAAGTCAGATTTGAGCATCTAACTGTTGATGCAGAAGCTTATGTAGGAAGCAGAGCTTTGCCATCTTTCATCAACTTTCCTGTTAATATAGTGGAGGTAACATATGGAAATTTGGTTCACTAGCTCTTATTTTACAGATTTTGCGCTAGTGTTTCTTCATGCTAATTTGTCCTCTGTTCAAAAGGGTTTATTGAACTGTCTCCATATACTTCCAAGTAGAAAGAAGCATATGAATATTCTTCATGATGTTAGTGGAATCATCAAGCCTTGCAGGTGAGTCTGTGTTTCTCATCCGATTCACGAATCAAATTCTGATTAGTTCAATTCTCTTCCCATTTTCATGTTCATAGGAAGTTTGTCTTTTTGCAGAATGACATTGCTTTTAGGTCCTCCAAGTTCTGGAAAGACCACTCTGTTGTTAGCTTTAGCCGGAAAGCTTGATCCTGATCTAAAGGTAAAGAAATGTGACTGCAGCATAAAATCTTCTATATATATTCAGAGCTTGTTAGTTCCAACTTCAATGTGAAAATTGACATTCTCCTTTGAATGCTAGTCTTCTGGGAGGGTGACTTACAATGGCCATGACATGCATGAGTTTGTGCCCCAGAGAACTGCTGCCTACATCAGTCAACATGATACGCATATAGGGGAAATGACTGTGAGAGAAACCTTGGCATTCTCTGCGAGGTGCCAGGGTGTTGGATATCGTTATGGTAGGTTGAAAATTTCCCTTTTTATTTCTTCTGATAACTTCAAGTCTTCAACCGAGATCAATTAAGTATATATGTTGATTGTTCTTTCCAAACATTTGCAGAAAAGCTAGCAGAGTTGTCAAGAAGGGAGAAAGCCGCGAATATCAAGCCTGATCCTGATATTGATATCTTCATGAAGGTAAGAAAGGAGCTAATTCGAAAAATTTCTCTAGGAAATGCACAACATTGATAGTAGTTTCAGGAGAAAATAAGTGAAACTAATCCTCTCTAAACTAATGTGACACACATAGATCAATGAGTTCTTGAATCAACATGGAGTTTCCACAATCTGGTTCCACTTTCTACATGAATATTATGTTTTGATCTCCGCCACAATAGTTGTGTTTTTTTAAGCATGACTTGTTCTTACATTTGAATTTCATATATGTTCAGCTTAAAATCAACTAGGGTCAATCATGAATCATCGCTGAATAGTTTTAATGTTTTTGGAACTTGTTTTCCTTCTCGTGAAGAAATAATTCTATTATTGTTTCTGATGGAATATCCAGGCAATAACAACAGAAGGCGAGGAGGAAAGTGTGATCACTGATTATATTCTAAAGGTACTAGAACCACAAAGCTATTTACAATATCTGAGGGTGGCATATAGCGATGCACAAATTTATTCATTTCCTTCCCTCTTAAACTATAGGTTTTAGGACTAGAAGTCTGCGCAGATACTATGGTAGGGGATCAATTGATAAGGGGTATTTCTGGAGGACAGAGGAAGCGTGTTACAACAGGTAAGACAGATCTCCAAAGTTAAAAAAGGAATACAAATTTCTAGTTCTTGAATTTTACACTAATGGTAAAAATATTTCCACTAATGCGTTTAGGAGAGATGTTGGTTGGTCCAGCAAAGGCACTCTTCATGGATGAGATTTCTACTGGTTTGGATAGTTCGACAACATTTCAGATTGTGAAATCGCTAAGACAATATGTCCACATTCTTAAGGGAACTGCTCTCATTTCTCTCCTGCAACCAGCACCCGAGACTTATGAGCTATTTGATGACATTATTCTCCTATCGGATGGCCAAATTGTCTATCAGGGTCCCCGTGAACAAGTGCTTGACTTTTTTGAATTCATGGGTTTCAAATGCCCTGCGAGGAAAGGAGTGGCTGACTTCTTGCAAGAAGTAGGTGATCTCGTTTGCTTGGTTTAAAAAAGAAAAAGGACCATGAGTTTCAAAATAGATGAATTTTATATACATGTATTTTTAGTCTTACTAATATATATATATATTATTACAGGTGACATCAAAGAAAGATCAGAAGCAGTATTGGGCAAGTAAAGATGAGCCTTACAGTTTTATTACTGTTCACGATTTTGCTGAGGCGTTCCAGTCATTCCATGTTGGACAAAAACTAGGAGACGAGCTTTCAACCCCATTTGACAAGACCAAAAGTCACCCAGCTGCTTTGTCAACCAGAAAGTATGGTGTTAGCAAGAGAGAGCTCTTGAAAGCGTGCACCTCTAGAGAATTTTTGCTGATGAAGAGAAATTCATTTGTCTACATCTTCAAGCTCGCACAAGTATGCCTTCCTTCATATATCTATATAAATATTCTGAATTTGGTCTTGGTGTCATTATTAACGATACATTTCTCTCTCTTTCTTGTAGCTTACTGTAATGGCATTGATTACAATGACCCTCTTCCTAAGAACTGAGATGCACCGAAATTCAGAAAGTGATGGAAGGAAATATACTGGTGCTTTGTTTTTCAGTCTGATTATTAACATGTTTAATGGATTACCCGAGATTTCCTTGACAATTGCAAAGCTTCCAGTCTTTTACAAGCAAAGAGACTTTTTGTTTTATCCCCCATGGGCATATGCACTTCCCAGATGGATCCTGAGGATCCCCATTACATTATTAGAGGTTGCCATTTGGGTATCCCTCACTTACTATGTTATTGGATTCGATCCAAGTGTTGGAAGGTAAGAATTAAAGAAAAATGAATCTCTCAAAGACTTGTTCAGCTTAGTTGCCCATATTTCCCTCTGCTCCAGATGATAACTAGTCAAATGTTCTCTGCAGATTTTTTAGACAGTACTTGCTCATCTTACTTGTGAACCAGATGGCTTCTGCATTGTTCCGATTTATGGGGGCAATGGGCAGGAACATGATTATTGCAAATACATTCGGATCATTTGCATTGCTCACACTTTTCGCATTGGGTGGCTTTATCCTATCACGAGGTGGTAAACATGAATCAATCTTGAGAAACAATTCTTCTCATACTTGTAAGACTTCATATAATGTTTTTTTTATGCAACAGAGGATATAAAGAAATGGTGGATTTGGGGTTACTGGATGTCACCATTGATGTATGGGCAGAATGCAATTGCGGTAAATGAATTCCTTGGGAATAGTTGGAATCATGTAAGTTACTAAATTTGAGTGTGTTCTTGTATTCTCGCACACATGTTTGTGTCTCAATTAGAATAAGCTAATGTTGAATTCCTCAAAGGTTCCCCTGAATGCAACGGAGCCACTAGGAGTCACAGTTTTGAAGTCTCGAGGGTTCTTCACGGATGCATACTGGTATTGGCTAGGAGTTGGGGCCTTGTTCGGATTTATGCTGTTATTCAACTTCTGTTTCAGTCTGGCTCTCACTTACCTAAACCGTGGGTACCTCTGCCTTCTTTGCTTCAAAACGTTTTGAAGTGAGAGTTCATCTAATAGTATAGTTTAAAATTTTCAGCTCTTGGGAAGCCTCAAGCTGTTATACCGGAAGAAAGACACAGCAATGCAAACAATGACCATTCCATCCAGTTATCATCCCGAGGAAACAGCTCTCTTGGCGGAAATGCACCCAAAGGTGATGGAGTTCCTATATAATGATCATGTGTTGCTTTATATATGCTAACTAGTATTATTTTTGCATGCAGAGGGAGGAGATCAAATTAGGAGGAGAAGTATCACAGTGGGATCCTCATCCTTGAGGACAAACGACATTGTTGAGGCCAATCAGAATAGGAAAAGAGGAATGATTCTTCCATTTGAACCGCATTCTATCACCTTTGATGAAATTAAATACTCTGTTGACATGCCACAGGTAACTAAAAGCTTGCACAATCGATGTGTTTGTGTGTGTTTGAGAGCAGAGAATTACTTATTTTAAGGTAACACAGTGTAACAGCAATGAGTGATTGTATAAATATGACTTGTAGGAAATGAAAGATCAGGGTGTCCTTGAAGATAGATTGGTGCTTCTGAAGGGAGTTAGTGGAGCTTTCAGGCCAGGGGTTCTTACAGCTCTAATGGGTGTTAGTGGTGCCGGTAAAACAACTCTGATGGACGTGCTCGCTGGTAGGAAAACTGGTGGATGTATTGAGGGTAAGATTACAATTTCTGGGTATCCAAAGAAGCAAGAAACATTTGCTCGAATTTCTGGGTACTGTGAGCAAAATGATATCCATTCCCCTCATGTTACTGTCTATGAGTCCTTGCTCTACTCAGCTTGGCTACGATTACCTCCAGAAGTCAATTATGAAACCAGAAAGGTTAGTATTTCTGAAGCATTTTTTGTAAGAGTTGAAAGTATGCAAAAGAGACAGAGAATCGGGTTATTGAACTTGACTTGGTTGTGCTCTGGTCGTACTGGAGTTTATCTTGAATTCAACAGGAAAGTTGAACCTACTTTGTGCAATTTCAGCTGATCCAAATTTGATCAGATTTGAACTTTGTGTCTTCTTGGTTTGACTGCTAAGGTAGACATGCTTAAGGAGTTCATGGGCATCACTTGGCATAATAGAGCATTTTGCCTTAATCTACCATTTTGTTGTTGAACTGACAAGATATATTCACATTGCCTCACATGGTGCTGCTAAAGCTTACTCATTTGCTATGATATTTTATTTATTTATTATTATTATTAAAAAAAAAAAAATCCGAATATAAGCTAAATGAAAACATAAATTGTCCAAAACTGGCTCTTGATGAGTTTTACTGGATTTGCTCAATGAGCAGTTCTATATGTGAGCGGAAACATAGTAGCAGAAGTCTCTAGATTCAATTATTTAGTTTTCTCCTAAAACCACCAACTAATCACTAGACGAAACTTCTAGGGGTGAAGGACGGGTGCTAAAAAAAAAAAAAAAGGAGCACTAATGTTGCATTTGACTATTTAACTCTCACTCATTTTGGCAGATGTTCATTGAGGAGGTCATGGAACTTGTGGAGCTGACCCCATTAAAGGAAGCACTAGTTGGGTTGCCGGGTGTGAATGGCCTTTCAACTGAGCAGCGAAAGAGACTAACCATTGCTGTTGAACTGGTGGCAAATCCCTCCGTAATTTTTATGGATGAACCAACTTCAGGGCTAGATGCAAGAGCTGCTGCAATTGTGATGAGAACGGTTAGGAATACTGTAGACACAGGAAGAACTGTTGTATGTACCATCCATCAACCAAGCATTGACATATTTGAAGCTTTTGATGAGGTAAGAACTGTTAATCTATAATAATAATTAGCATTGTATACGATTTCATTCTATCATATATGTACAATGTGTTGACATATAAAAAATTGGCTTGCAGCTTTTCCTAATGAAGCGAGGAGGACAAGAGATATATGTTGGGCCATTGGGTCGCCATTCTTGTCATCTAATCAATTATTTTGAGGTGAGATGAAAAGAAATATAAAGGAAACTACGACTAATGACATTATACTTCTAGCTTTAATTGGTCAAAAATTACTCACTAGCACATCACTTGCTTTTTTTACAAGGGAATTGAAGGAATAAGTAAAATTAAAGATGGCTACAATCCAGCAACTTGGATGTTGGAAGTTACTACTTCAGCGCAGGAAACAGCTTTGGGGGTCGATTTCACTGAAGTTTATAGGAGTTCAGAATTATATAGGTTGGTTTAAATATATAGCACATACTTGCATAATGAGATTGAGAAGCTATCCTTACAAGCATTAGAAATCTGATAAATATTTGAATTGCCTTTTCCCAGTTGCACATCTAAATTTTGTTATAATTTTTTGCAGGAGAAACAAAGCTTTAATCAAAGAAATGAGCACACCTCGTCCTGGTTCAAAGGACCTTTATTTCCCTACTCAATATCCACAGTCATTCTTCACCCAATGCATGGCTTGCCTATGGAAGCAACATTGGTCATATTGGCGCAATCCACCATATACTGCAGTGAGATTTCTTTTCACAACCTTCATTGCATTGATGTTTGGGACAATGTTCTGGCATCTTGGTTCCAAAAGGTGAGTTATAAAAATATAATAAAAGCAGTTAAAAAGTTCAAACTATTGTATTCCCAATTTCCCTTTCAATCTAATCTTGATGTCTATTGCAGGACAAGGCAACAAGAACTTTTTAATGCTATGGGTTCTATGTATGCTGCTATTCTCTTCTTAGGGATCCAAAATGCCTCATCGGTGCAGCCAGTGGTGGCTGTTGAACGAACAGTCTTTTACAGAGAAAGAGCTGCTGGAATGTACTCAGCTTTGCCATATGCCTTTGGTCAGGTATCTAATATTCATTCACTACAAACTTCACAATTCATGTAAATGATGTATATCTTATTTGGTCATGTCCTCCTTTGCAGGTTGCTATTGAGCTTCCATATATTTTTGCACAAGCTGCAGTATATGGTGTTATAGTTTATGCAATGATCGGATTTGAATGGAGCGTTGCCAAATTCTTTTGGTACTTGTTCTTCATGTACTTCACATTATTATACTACACATTTTATGGCATGATGACTGTGGCTATGACTCCAAACCATCATATTGCTTCTATTGTTGCTTCTGCATTTTATGGATTATGGAACATATTTTCAGGATTTATAGTCCCGCGAAGTGTAAGTCATTACAATCCCATTTTCCTTTGATAAGATGTAGAGCATATAAAAAGTTAAAACTAACTATATACTGTCCAAATTTTCATTGCCAACAACAGAAGATGCCGGTATGGTGGAGATGGTATAACTGGGCTTGCCCATTTGCTTGGACTTTGTATGGACTGGTTACTTCACAGTTTGGAGATGTTAGGGACATGCTTGACACAGATGAAACGGTTGAAGATTTCTTGAGGAGATACTTCGATTTCAAACATGAATTGTTGGGAGTGGCAGCAGCTGTTGTAGTTGGTTTTACAGTTCTTTTTGCATTCATCTTTGCCTTTTCCATAAAGAAATTCAATTTCCAGAAGCGATAAGGAGTCATTCCAGTCCAGATCATCCAATACTCACATTAGTATTTGGTTACAAAGAGAGGCTAATATGTAGCAATCTCAACTCTCAAGAAGATGGTTTTAGTTTCAACGGTGTAGGTAGTACTTAAATAGCAAGTCTAACAAAGATGCCTTGGAATTAATGCGAAAAAGGAAATGTCTCAAGGAAGCTCTTTGCTACTATCATGAGAGCAATGTTACACCAAGTCAAATCTTATTGATGGAGTGCGTTTCTTTATAAAGTTGTGGCGCATTCGGGGAGTGATTGGTTTCTGAGATTTTAAATCTAGTTGAGAAGACACTAAAGAGTGTGTATAGAGTTATTGGGTGTATTTGGGTTTTGGGTGTGGGATATTACTTGTACAGATCTGCCTTCTGGGGTATCTCCACAAAGATTAAGGATTTCCCCTTAAGCTTTCTCCCTTTCGTTTTCTTGTTGAAGATGCCCCCCTTGTTTATTCCTTGTATATTCTATTGACTTCAGAGTGAAATATTTTGCTGTGTCTTCGTTGCAGGCCAAAGGTCGAACCACATAAATGCTTGTCTCCTATTTTTTGTGAGTGCCTTTTTGTTATGTCTTTTACGACCATTCTTTTTCTCTTGTTCTCAATGACTCCATTCAATCCTGTCATAACATATATATAATAACAATGTATACATGTACGTGCTTGCATTTGGCTTATCAAGAAAAGTTAGAACTGTCTTTGATTTTGAACAAAAGGATGAGACAAAGCTTGGTCTATACATGAGATATATAGTATTACAATTTGGATATAACTTCCCCGCCAGTTTCAACAATAAAAATAAATAACTAAAAGGAAATTTGTGATAAATCTCTCAGTTTGAAGCATTAAAAGCTGTCTCTCTTTTACATCTGCCTCTCTTGCTAGCATTTGCCTGTATGAAAATTTAGGAAGTGTCCTTGATTGTGTAATTTTCTTTAATAGCTTTTGAACATAGGGAGGATTTGGAATAATACAATTGGGATCTCTCTTTTATAAACCAAGAGAGATTAAACTTATTAGAATTGAAGTTGATGTTCTCAACCTTGGACTTCAAGATAGGAAGAAGAGCAATGGGGAAAAGGGTAATTTAGTCAAAAGGGTTTGTATCGTGGACCAAGTCCAAGTTTATAACAATTCAAAACTTAAGAAGCAATGATTTTTATTCATCATTCTGGTTTGAACATAAAATGAAGGCCATAAATAATCAAACCAAAAGCTAAGAAAAAGTCCCTTTCAGTTTCAGGGGAGGGCATGTGACCAAATTAATGGGCCAGAGTGATCCATTAGTTTTTGTTGGCATTTGTAAATGCAAACATTTTGGTCCGTGGTTGGATGCAAAAATACAAGTCCAGCCCATAGGGAATGATATAATCACACACTCCACTAATATATAGGATGACACTTCACTAATAAAAAAATTTCAATTGGATATGTTACAGTTCTACTACGTATAATTTATTTTAATTGGTACATTTATGTTTTACAACTTTAGATTCTTAAATGTTCAATTTTTTTGTGGGGTTCTCTTTTAATTTTCAAAAAATATAAGATTTTTTTAAAAAAATTAGGCACCATTAAAGTGATGTTATAACCTCAATATAATTTTTTTTTTTTAAAGTTTTCTTTAAGGTGAATTTCATTTTAGGTTTTCTTTTCATTCTAATTTTTTAAAATAGTTCCAATGTATTTTCATTTTCTTATAAATGCTTCTAATATATATACGTATGTATTTACAAATCTAATCAAAAAATTTAAAAATAATTTTTAACAACACCATGTCAGAGTTGTTTGTATTAATGTTAATTTGAGTTGGTATTTTCCTTATACCACCAGTTTTATTAAAGACCCTACATCTATCAATCTATGTATAAATAAATCAATTGTCACAAAATCTCAATACCTAAATAGGTCATTTAAGCAAAAGACACCAGAATGGCCTCAATGCACAATTCTTAAATAAAATCAATGAACAAAATAAATCAAGCTGACCAATATCTAAATCAACAGATCGAAATGATAACAAATCCATTAATGTTTCGAATTTGCTACTGAAGAAATCCTAATTTGAGATACAGAAATCCTTCTTAAATGAAAAAAGAGAAAGACAGAATTACAGATGAAAGAGTCCTTTCATTTCAAGAAACAACAAAGTATTACATGAGAATTAAATGAAAACCCAAACCAAAACACTTGCACTGCATTTGAGATGAAGTTTATACATACATACACATCAACCAACCTTGAAGAAAACCCAATTCTTCAAGTATTCAACAAACGCAGTGAGTGCTTGGAGATATTGACAAGTTAAAAGTGAAGGAGACCACTTATTCATTACAATATATTGACCCCCCAGAAAAATGGTTAGTACCATGAACAAAACTAACCATCAGTCATATTACCAAAACTCTTTTAAAGACCATACATTCATACGTACACACAGATGAGATTAGATCTAATTTTTTTAAAAAAAAATTATTTTAGGCTTGGTTTGGATAAACATAATAGAAAAGAAAAGAAAGTATAACATTAGCTATAAGAGAAAAGAAAAAAAAAGGAAAAGAAAAAAAATGATAGCAATAACCTTTATTTATGTTTGGATAAATTATGAGGGAAAAAAAAATAAATAATAATATTTTTGTTTGGAAAATATAAATGATAGAAAATAAAAGAAATGATAAGAATTAAATTACTATCACAACCCTTTTATAAAATATTATTAGATAAGAGTGAAATGTTATAAGAGGTGATTTTAGTATTATGAAAATACTACTTATTCATTATTCTCTCTCTTCAAAGCTTCTCAATTTTGGGAAGATAACGTGAGAGTTATACTTCTAAATCTCTCCCAAACATTTATTTTCTCTTCACTAAAAACTATTCAAACACGATTTTCATCATCATTTCTTTTCTTTTCTTTTCAAATCCCTCCGAATCACTCAATCCCAACCAAGCTTAATGTATTAATAATTGTACCAAAAACTGAAAGTGGAAAAAAGTCATGCAATTTGCCCTATGTGTAATTAAGCTTTGTCAAAATATATTAAACTATTTTTAATCCTATAGAGATGTCAAGTTGTCTATGATATCATTGCGCTCCATTATGACGTTTTCCAATAGAAAAATGATAAAAAATAGTAACAGTTTTCTTTTCACTTACTAGTTTTTTCTTTCCCGATCAAGAAGTATTATTTTTTATTTATTTATTATTATTATTATTATTTTCTCTCAAAGAAAGTGGCTGGTGAAGCATATTAGTGATGTTGACTTCTTTGTGTTCCTGCCCATTATCTTCCACTTCTTCATCTTCAAATTTCAAAGAATAAAGTATAAGATGCAAGAAAAAAATTGCATTTGACAATTGAAATAAGTTTTTCAATATATTATTGTGTTTTGGCCCAAAAAACTTAACCTCCATTGATGATCTCATTGTATCGTGTGATTTTGTTTGAAAAGAAAGTCAATCACATGTTATTTACAGATTTATTACAAGAATTGTTACGTAATTATTCATCAAATAGTCACTTATTTATGTTTAAATTTTAATTTTAATGACTATTCATTACTTTATGCTAAGTAATTTTGTTTAACATATAGTTACTAAAATCTAAGTTCTGCCTGTTCTTTATTATTTTGTTCATATATTTAACTCAATATCATTTATTATAATATTACTACAAACTTTCAAAGCAATTATGTCACAAGTTAAATTAAAAACTACAAATAATGTACGCCATCAAATAATAAATCATCCAGCCTTAACTTCTGTTTTTTTTCTTAAATAAAATGCACTCATAAAATTCTAAAATTTATAATCTTTTCTTATATTTATCTTACCTATATTTAGAAAACTTTCAAGTGGGACTCAAATTGCTTGTGTTAATAGTCCTCTTAGCCGAAGCTTATGACTATACACTTACACATTCACTTTACTTCGTTGAAAACTCGAATCCTCACCAAACACTTTAAAAAGTAGAAGAAATATCATTGGACCATGGTAGCGGAAGCTATTAATAAAATCCAACAATTGTATATAAATATATATTGATTTGTATCAAACTCGTATAGAGTTATAAAAATTAATGATATGAAACTCTATTTATACTTTATACCAGACTTACAAAATAAATATTCACATGTTTTTACTGTCAAGTCAAGACTAAAAAAATTAATGGGCCAGCGACCTAACGGTATCAGGCTCCTAATTTTTAAAAGGAGATCAGGGTTTTGAATCTCAGTAAAAACATGCGTGTCTAAGTGACTAAGACAAAAAAAAAAAAAAAAAAAAAAAAAAACACAAACGTTAAGTCAAAATTGAAAAGAGTGGTGCAAATGTATTGGACTCTTTTGCGTGTAACATTAAATAGTTAGTGGTTGACCCCACTCAAAAAGCCCCACTAATAAATTACCTCACGGGCTGCATCATATAGACTCATAATTGAGCTAACGAACGTGTATTCATACGGAAACTCACCCCTTCAAAATTCAGTCACGTGAAGAATATTTGTTGGTTGAAAAGACATGGCCTTAAATTTTAGATTTTCTAGTATATTTGAACTTGAATTTTTATTTTTTTCATTAATTTGCATAAATTCAGCTGGAGGATTTGGAACTTGAAAGGTGAAATGGACCAACATTTGAAAATCCAGCTAAAAAATTAGGGACTAATTATCCATACCATATCACTTGACTTTTGGAAGTAAAAAGTTAGTTCAAATTTTACCGTATTTGATGTAATGTGATCTCTACCATCAGCTACTATCTCCAAATTATTTTGGACATTTTAAGTGGATTTTCAAAATTTTGTTTTTTTTTAATATTGGTATCTCGAATGTAGATCTAATTAATTTAGATACTAATATAGAATAATTGGGTTGAAACTTTTTTGACATTATTTAGCTAAAGTGTTTTCTCATGTTTTGATAATTATTTTCAAATGGTCATATTATAGCTAGCATTAACAGGATAACATTGATCCTCAATATAATAATTGGAATTTGATGGTAAAAATTAGCCCTTTTATTTTCCCAATTCATATGGTTTAACCATTATTTATTTTTTCGAATTTGATGGTAAAAATTAGCCCTCTTTTAGAGCTCTTTTTTATTTTTTTATTTTTCATTAATTTGTATAAATTCAGCTGGAGAATTTGTAACTTTAGTGCAAGGTGAAATGGACCAACATTCGAAAATAAAAATAAAAGAAATTCCAGCTAGAAAATCCAGGACTAATTAATTATGTACACCATACCACTTAACTTGTGAAAGTTAAATGTTAACTGGTAATTTTGTCTTTATTTATTAAAATTAAGATTCTTTACATTGAAGATTTTGTCTTTATTTATTAAAATTAAGATTCTTTACATTGAAGACAGTGGAGATTATATTGCATATGATGTGATTTTTATAAAAAGAATAAACCTCAGTTCATGTGATGTGATCTCCATTATTCATGTGAATTAAACTGGCTAATGCCTCCAAATCATTTTTCGGTGGAGTTCTATAATTTTGTCATTTTTTAATATTGGAGACCATTTTGAATGCAGGTCTAATTATTTAAATGTTATTATTTAAATGTTAGTA